CACTGCAGCAGGATGCTTGAAGGGGGAAAAAAAAAGATTTAAATTTGCCTGGGGAAGGATCCAGTGTTTACGTGAGTAACAAGGCATGCAACCATTGCTGAGGATACAGCCTCTTGCTCCACTAACCTCTGCAAACCTGTAAGGGGGGGGGGGTATTAAGAAATTTTCAGGATGCTCTTCTCAAACACTGGGTATGATACTGCTGCAGGCAAGATATGGAGCAAGTTGGTCACAGCTTGATACTCAATATGACAATGCAAGAAATGGCGAGACTGTTTCCAGCAGAAGGCATAGAAATAGCCCCAAAATTTAACCCCTCCTAGAAAATTCTACACCACTGGTTTCTCAAGCTCAAACTGTAAAAGACTGTTGACCCACTGTCGCCAAGAACTCCCTGACCCTCTGCCAGTGATATCCCTGAAGAAGTGTCACACTGCAGCCTTGCGCTCCCATTCACAACACTAAGAGGTGCTGTGTGAGGACACCTACTCTGGGGGTGCAGTGAGCCTCCCAGCCCATCACGGCAGAGACTTCTCTGCCTGCCCAAGTGTTAACTAACTGCTTCCCAGGGGCACTTCTCCAAGCTGCACAGAACCTGTAACAACTAACCACAGCACTAATTAGCTGTCAGCAAAAACACATCTTGAACAGCAAGAATCCCAAATTAACAGGAAAAAAAAGAGCACTTCAGTTGTGATTTGCACTCAAGACGCAGTGCCTCACCCTCAAGTTGGTGGAGAAAAGAGTCAGAGAGGTGGAAAAAAGGGTTCCAAACACCAAAATGAGGGCTGCCAGCAGCAGTAACTGAGGAGGACAAGTCTAAACTGCCTCTGGAGGAGGAGGACCTTTCTCACAAGCCCTGGATACACCAACCAAAGGCTGAGCTACGTGTTGGGCAATGGCCTGTGGTGCTATGGCTCATCCAGTGCCCAGAAACGGGCAGTGCTGCCGATCCAGGTTTGTACCCTGGATACAGAGATAGAATACCTAAATCTCACCAAGTCATTAACAGAAGGCCTTTCTCTTCAGAACACTTACGTAAAAATAACATGAATGATAAGTGAAATGTTTACAAAATCTGGCTTTATTACTTTTTCTTTATTACAACATAAATTATTCTCAAATAACATAAGGATTTAATAGTGTTCAGTTCATTATATATTACTCAAAATGATACACTTCTTAAAAAATAATTCTCAGTATACAAGGAAAATCCCAACAGAATTTACAAAGCTGCTGTAGTTCACAAGTACAGGAGCTAAAGTTGTAATGAATCACGCAGGAAATGTGTTGCTACAGGTAGAAGAAAAACTACATGACTTGGTTAGGGTTTGAATCACAAACCTTAGATTATATTTTTTTCTTTAAAATAGATGATTAGGAAAAAAAAATCCTCATAGCAAAGAGGCACGTGGGGTGTAGCTGATGGCAATAATTCTGTAACCCAAACAAGGAAACTAATCCACTCTGAGTAGCTAAATTATTTTTTGCACTATTTACATACTTTACTGAAGTATTTTCATCCCAGAGCCTCAGCAAGCATCTTAGAATATTAATGAGTGAAGCCTGGCAGCACTCCAGTGTCACAAATCAGAAAGTAACATCATTCCTATTTTATCACCAGGGAAACTGAGTCACCAGGAGTATTCAGATACAGGTAACTGCAGAAAGAAACCTCCTGGATCTTGATCCTCTTAGACAGGCCTTGATGGAGAGACTGTTCTTCCTTGTTAGATGGCTGATGACCATGAAGAGCACTGTTTGAAACTCGGTCAGGTTTGGTTTTTGCCATGTTTAAACTGCTTCAAAATAGGTGACATCTATCCAGCTATAGTGTCATTATGATCACCTTTACTCAAAAAAAAAAAAAAGCCATTAATGGTTTTCCTTTTTAGATCAAAACCAACAACAGCAAGAAGTGCATCTCTGATCCCTCCAAAGACCTGGGGAAGGCTGTCTTGTTATATCCAAAATACTGCAATTGTTCCCTCGATCTGTGTAAAGGTAAATACTGAAAACCAGTGACTTTGAAAGACAGAACTGCATTATTTATTAAAAAAGATAAGTAAGAGCTACTGCACAAGAATGCAAAATGAAAATACAGCTTTAAAGATAAAATGTTTGTATGGATAAAGTAACTAGACTTACAGAAGCTGTAATTTAAATTTTCAGGCACTGAGAACATTCCTTTGTCAATCAAGTATTTGAAACAAGTTAGATGAGAGGTTCTGAGCCAGGATGTGGCCTTTACAAACCAACAAGAAACATTTTGCATGTCCATAATGACAAGGATTTTACTTCCTGTGACAGCAAAATATAATATCACATCAATAGGATTACTCAAAATTACTTTAAAAATTAACTTGGCAATAATGTTTGCTGAATGACTAAAAGGGAAATAAAAACTTGTTGCAGATCCTAGGTGACATGAATTTACAAGTTAAGAAAAACCTAAAAAGCCAATACTTGATCTTGGGATAGAAGCATCCAGCATAAATCCAGCAATTTTAAGGCCATTAAAGAGTGTGAGTAGTTCATTCACAGGCATCTCACTGTTTACATTTTGGCAAATACAACATCTTAATGTGGCAATAAAAAGTCATGGACCACTGTGCTGTCTCACAGCAGCCAGGAGCAGGCCAGGCAGCAGGGGACAGGACTGCTGGGATCACCTATGGGACTGTAGGTGGTGCACCACCCCGGGCCAGGACATGTCCAGTGCTGTCCATCATGCCCTAGTGACAGATTCAGGACAGTCCCAGGCTCATGAGTATAGATTGCCATGTATAAATATAGAACCACACACACTTAAGTTATATAAATTAGTTTTATCTACATTTATATATATGTATATAACAAGTATAGGTGTGTGTATATATACAGACACAGATGCATGAATCTCAACAGTCCCCCTGTTGAGAAACCTAATATAAATCTCTGAAAATATACATCAATTATTCAGATAGTCATTGCTTATGCAGTATAAGCAATGTATTCTGATTGGGGTTTTCATAAATACACATTAAAATTCTCCATGGTTGCCACCCTTGTGGGAGTAACAACATAGTTGCATATGTTGTAAACTATAAATATAGGCTTTAAAAATTCTTTGAAGAACAGGTATAGCCACTGTAAGTAACTTCCAGGACAGACAGAAGTGGTCAGAACAGAAAACCAGACTTGAGCACATGGCTCCAAACCATCTGTATTCTCCTAACACATACAAGTGCACAGGACCTCTCCCGTGTTCCCTGCCCTGCAAAAATCCCTTTTAAAAGCTTTCTCTAATTATGATGGAGGGCTACAACTGAAACAATTTAATCAGGCTAAACAAAAGCAAAGAATATTTTTGGTAACAGATACAGTACAAGAAAAAGGTCATGTTGCAAAGTCCAAGAAAACCCCTCAAATCTGGGGACAGTGTGTTATATATCTCCTCCCTAAGCAATTAGGGCAATCTTTTCAGTCCATCTGCTTAATATTTTTCCCTTTTCAGTGGTTCTAAATATGTTATTAAAATGACATTTGATAAAAATGCACTGTAAGTCAATAAGCACGATACTGTATTTTGTTTCAGTTAAATTAAACCCAAAAATCATAGAATGGTTTGGGTTGGAAGGGACCTTAAGATCATCTAGTTTCAACCCCCCTGCCATAAGCAGGGACACCTCGCACTAAACCATGTCATCCAAGGCTCTGTTCAACCTGGCCTTGAACACTGCCAGAAATGGAGCATTCATAACTTCCTCGGGCAACCCATTCCAGCGCCTCACCACCCTCACTGTAAAGAACTGCTTCCTTATATCTAACCTAAACTTCCCCTGTTTAAGTTTAAACCCATTACCCCTTGTCCTACCACTACAGTCCCTAATGAAGAGTCCCTCCCCAGCATCCTTATAGGCCCCCTTCAGATACTGGAAGGCTGCTATGAGGTTTCAACGCAGCTTCTCTTCTCCAGGCTGAACAGCCCCAACTTTCTCAGCCTATCTTCATACCGGAGGTGCTCCAGCCCCCTGATCATCCTCGTGGCCCTCCTCTGGACTTGCTCCAACAGCTCCATGTCCTTTTTATGTTGAGGACACCAGCAGTGTACACAATACTCCAAGTGGGGTCCCACAAAAGCAGAGTAGAAGGGCAGGATCACTCTCCCCAGATGAGAGCAGGTGTGCTAGAAGCAGTATCAGGTTTGCTATAGATGAAGCCTGAGAAAAATTCAGGGTAGACATATAATAATGGTGTAAAGGCAGCATATCCAGACATGCAAGAACTGCAAATTTTAGAAAGTATTAACTTGCACTTATATGTTACAGTACACACTGTCCTGTCATAGTTTCTTTTACCATCCATGACTACCTTGGTTTTAATTGTGTGCAGTTTCAAGCACCTTCAATCTCCTTCTCAGGGTTCTCGCGTGGGTGAAACCATTAGTTTACAATGAACCAAACTGAGCAACAGGCTGACTTCAGGAAACTTAGAGCCTGAAAAGTCAGCAGATGGCTACACATAGAAAATAGGGGGAAAATAATCCCACAACAGAATACACAACAGAGCAGTTCCAGAATTCTATCAGGGACCTATACAGTATCAGGAGTTTCATAAAGACAGCATTTGATTTTTCTCTTGTGCCAACTGCATTGTACATGACAGAAGCAGTGCATGAACCATGAAGTGCCCTCTTCACATGACATTCTAAATCTACTGTGAACCCTGAACAGCCCATTAACTTCGTCTCTAGTCCAATTCTCCAGCAAAATTCTGATCTCATTAAATGTCCTGAACATCAAAAGTGTATTTTACAGAAAAGAAAATTAAGGCAAAATTTCACATGTCCACACACTGGTGGTACTGAAAACCAATCAAGTCCTCATTTCTTAAGCACAAAAAACAACTGATAAAAGCAAACATGGTCCAGATGATAAAGTGCAATTATTATTTCAGTTGTGCTAAAAACCTTTCCAATTCTGTAGTTTTACTTCTTGGTGATTTTATTCAACTTCTAATCATAATATATTTTTGCTTCTGTCCCCATCTTTCCAGTACTGTTCAGTTTGCATTTCTGTAAGCCTTGAGAGGGTACGCTGAAAGGCAAAGATTTCCTCTTCTCCTGTGAAAATGGAGAGTCCTTTGGCGGAATCCTGCATTAATACAGAAAAACAACACCACAGAACTAACTGTGAGAGACACGACTGTACTGAAGTGCACCCTACCCAACTCCTCAGGCTGAGTGCTTCACAGGCTTTGATGATACAAAGCAGCAGTGTAACACCAAGAACCTAAAGTTTACATCCAAATATTAAAGGAAAACACCTATTTCGGCTAGGTAATCCTCTGAAGGAATGTAGCAAAACAATAACTTGGGTTTAAAACTGCATGATGACGTGTTAACCATCTGTTTTCACTTTTCTGTTGACTAATTGTATACTGATTTAGAGAAATCATTTAAAAATTCATTATAAATAACTAGGCTATAGGGAAAAGGAAAACTAGAATTGGTAACATGCAAAACAGTACTGTTTGTAAGGATTTGTGAGGCAGTCCTATGTAGTCTAGGAACACATAGAACAGACAATCTTTTATTTCTGTATTTTAAACGTAAACTGAAATCAGTATTTTCATACATGATTGTGCAGATATAGTGATGAACTTAAGTAAAATGGTTCTATATATTGTGACATCGACTATGAATCAGTAACATGCAATGAGAGCAACACACTGCAGAAAAAGCAGCAAATCACTAGTCAAATATTTACTTGATTCCTCTCCTAAAATGCTGCTGTAATTACGAGACCAAACCCGATTTTGTTACAAAAGGGAAAAGATGTTAATATCATGTACCTGGCTCAAGTCCAAATCATCCATCAAGACTCTGTTGTTCTCTACCTCAGCACTGTCATGTTCTACCAGGAACAAGCTTTGGAGAGGAGTCACTGCAGAACAAATAATACGCACCTGAGAGAAGGAAAAGAGGCAACAATATCATCACTTGGGCTTTAGAGAAAAAGGATAAAAATACATGTTTTATGGAAAGCAAACTTCAAATTACAACCTTGGGGTTTTTCCAGGTATTTTTCTTTTCTCTTATTAGCACTGCTGTTACAGATTTACCTGACTTGGTCATTTGGAATACTAACCTTACAGGATCTTTTTCTCAATAACAACTCATGTAACTTTTACGCAGAGAACAGCTTAATTGTGGTATTGAATACTCAGAATATCTGCTATACAGGCAACGAGTTCATAATCAACTTTCTACAGTAACAGCTATAAAGTATCAGTAACCAATGCTTTCTTTCCCCCCATAGTTAAAACTCCTCTCACTATGTAAGTGCACTGCACACGTATTTCCACCTAAAGAATGTTTAAATTCCAGATTTTGCAGAAGGCTGAGTGGAGCCACACTTGCTTTCACCCATGCTACTCAAGTGCACATTATTTGCTAACAGCAGTAACGATGCTGCTTTCATGTCTGCTTGGAGGAGATACAATGTGCAGTGAGATACAGTATCATAGGGGGCTGCAATGAAGACAGGCTGAAGTATTGTTACGGGAGGAGATGCTTGCTGAGAGTATGCAGGCATAATGTTTGCATTGTGGACAAGCCTCCACAAATAGGCTCTCCCAGGTGCTTTTTCCTAACAACTACTTGTGACAGGAGTTAAACACTTGTGGTTTTCCTGTAGAGGAAGTAATAGGAAGCAGCTATTTGCTTGCAATTCTTAATGACAGCACGTAGGTAGAGCAGACAACCTCACCCCCCTTATTTCTAACACACTATTATTAGTGTATAAGTATTAGCATATCCTCTTAGAAACTGTCCATTTCCCAAATCATAAAGTACAAAGCGTCTGGCTGACCTGAATAAGACTACTCATACACTTAGTTCAATACCTTGCTGAATTGGGGCCTTTCTGATGATCTTGCCAGGACATTCTTGGAAAAAAATAATCTCAATTGATATTTCCTGATTGCATAAATATTTAAGTGCGTGCATACATAATAACACATAGGACAGGGTTTCATACCTTGTATTACTTACAAAAAATCATCTTAAACATGAACTTCTCTTTGTTTTAGTTGTGCTGATTTTGCTTCCATGATTGAAACCTCTCTAAATTCACATGAAGTGCTGTATTTATCATTACTATTCCGTTAGCAGTCCTGCAACCTAACATAAAGCCTACAGTGACTGTTTCCTTTAAACTTAATAATGTAACTATGCTAACAACTCCTCAGTACCCTGTTCAGGAAGGCTGATTCCTGACTAACTGCCCATGCAGATTAAAATCTAAAAAATTTAAATTTACTCCAGCACAGCTGGCAGCACAATCTTTCATTATTAAAATGATGACATGGCTTCTGTGGATTTCCTCGGTTAGGAAGGAAATAACATCCCTATTTGAGAAAGGCAAATGAGCTCAGGCTTATATTTATGGTCATGTTTAATACTCACAGAAATAAAAAATAAAACCCAACAAAACCAAACCTGCTTATTTGCCTTTGTAGTGATGAGGCCTTTTTTGTGAAGCTGGAATGATGTTTCTTTGCAGTGCTAGTTCATTCTGCTTATGTCTTCCAAATCATTACTACAGAAAGCCTTACTTCACACCAATTGTATGCCAGATTTTAGGGCTCACAGTATTACTCTGCACATACAGGAAAGGCTTGGTTCTCACCTTATGTTCATAAAAGGTATCAATAAGAGTAATGAAGCGGCGAGCTTGTGTCCTTTTTGCCATTGTAAGAAGCGGTATGTCACGAACAAAGACTGTGTCAAAGTGCTTTGATATTTCCAAATAGTCACTGGCTCCAAGAGGCTGAAACAAAAACCATAAGAAAGGCATGGCAATGTCACAACTTCCTTCAGCTGATGAAATGTGCTGTACCTACAGTGTAATACGGTTCTAAAGCACTGCAACACTGCTAGAAACAGTAAATAAAAAAATATTTTCTCTAACTGAAATTCTTAGACAAATGTGCTGTAGGCCAAGTATAACTACTTACCTAGAACCCTTCCACAAGAAGTTATTTTGAGCAATTACTAATGGCTCTCCATGACCAGGACTTTGGGTTTTATTTAGACACAAGAATGAAATACCTGTAGAAATGGTCTATATGCAAGTGCATGAGATTGAAGCCCTGCTGGTATTTCAGAAATTCTTCTGAAAATTAATGGGAATAAGCTGGAGCTCTCACCAGCTAACCCCCAGGCAGGTATTAAAGCCTCTGTCTCTAAGCCAGTTCTCTCATTTGCAGTCTCATGAACTACCCTGCTTTCCCATTCGTAACCATTCAGCTTCCCTGGGACATCTATAGAAAAGTATGACTACAAAAACTTTTAAGTGTTTCTAGCAGTGTTTCAGAGCAGTATATACTATATCCTTTCCTCAAAGTTATATATACTGTTTATTTTCTCCTTCCATTTAAGTCCCCCAGCCACTACTATGAACTTCTTAACCAGAAACCAGGAAGATAATCATCTTGAGAGGCAACAACAGCTTCACACATCACCTCTGAAAAAACTCTCATCTGGACAAAGAGTAGCTGAAGTCAAAATGTTTTGATGAGATAAAGCATGAAAATGTTCAAGGAAGTGAAAGGTAGCCGCTCGATGGAAGCATCACAGAGCTAGCCCACCGCATCTCTTACCATGAGATACAAGCCATAGCTATATGGAAAATAATCCCATCAAGTGCAAATGAAAACAATGGAAGGACTAAAAGCAGCAACACAACTAGGATGCTGCTGGAGATTTTAATATTGGTGGTAAGCAAGCGGTTTTGTAACTGTAATTTTTATTCCATACTTAGGACTGAAGTACTGTTAAGTACAGAAGAGATCAAGTACACCAGTGTGCTGAGTACCTGAGCAGCAGTGATCTAATTGCACGCGGGAAAGGAAATAATTTCTCATGTCTCTCCTTAGGTAAGAAATTACAGATATCACCACTATTCAGGTTCATTCTTTTATCACACAGAGATCCCAGTCACCCTTCTGGCAAAGCCTGTGGGATTATTGTGTCTTGCCCCAATGTGATATACTCTCTCACCCAAACCATACAAATACTCCCCAGAATGGGGAGGTATCAAGTATTAAAAGCTGATCCCTAAAACAAATAAATAAAAACCAAAGACTTAAAACTTTTGCAAAATCTACAAACTGAAGCATCCAACCACTGAGCTATACATCTAGGAACTTCATGGGTACCTTGGTGGATATCCAAACATGAAAATTAAAAACCTGCGGGGTCAGAGGGAGGAAACAGGTGGAGAACAACAGGCAAATGCATTTCAAATGGGAAGAAAGGAAGATGGAATACTGCTTTTGCTTTTATGCAGACATAAACCCACAGTTCATGGAGGATTACAGTATGTATCTTTATCACAGCCAAACAATCTACTTCAGCAGTGCAAAAAGCAGGCAATTAAAAAATTCCTCTAATTAGGGACATAAAAGGCAGATAATTTCAAGCTGTTTAACAAGAATTTCTGAAACACCTACACCAGTGCTAAGTGGTAATATCCTGTAAATGTTGGCAGAAACGTGCCTTTGGAGACTCTCAAATCTTATGATCAGAAATATCTGAGCCTAGCAGCCATGAGTATTTATTTCAATAGAGTAAGTCTGTACCTCCCTTCCAAGACTCAACTCCGGTGACCTGCAACGGACACTCTGAGTCAGCCAGTCTGTTACATAGGGCTCAGCTGGCATCAGCTGTAGTTCTTTACACAGAAGAGTTCTCAAAGTCTCCTTTTCAGGTTTAGAAAGAAATAACCCTGCAGATGAAGTTTAGACTGATTCATCTGGTTTTCTGAACAACATTCTAAAAATAACAGCTTCATTTGGTGTGTGTTTCTGGTACTGTCTCATCTTTTTTCTTCCACCACTTATCAATCAAAACTCAACTTCAGAACTAACACATTTAGGTAACAATTGTCACCGTTTGTTACCAGTTCTTTCACATGCTGCAATTTTTTATTTTTTATTTAAACCCCAACATTAACAGGTAAGAATCTTTCTTGAGGTCTTACTGTTCCTGCATGTGTATATAAAGTAAAACTGTTGTAGATTTTTGTCATTAACTCTGATGCCAGGAGTCAGTATTTTATAGGCATCATACTAATGCAAAACACATTAGCACTGACATGGGCTACCCTCCCGACAAAGTGTTTACTCCACTTCAGCCTGCTTGACTGAGTTCTCACCTTCATTTGTCTTTGTTTCTCTGTCTACTTAATGCATTTTCAGCTACCATCATCCCACTTCAAGCGCGACGTTTATTATTTGGAGCTCTCTGTGGGCTGTTTTAAGAGTTAGTTGTCTCCTGTTTCTATTATATAGTCCATTTAATTAAGTATAAAGCATTCTTCTTCTTTGTTGACTCATCAATGACAAAGTAGCTCACCTTTTAGAGACTGTCTGAAGAATACAGAGCACTTCACATATGTTAGAAAAAGGTATTTCATCTCGAGACAAAAATCATTTTTGTTGATATCGGAAGATATTCCAGGGCCAGTTCCAATAACACCCTCAAGAGTTGCGATTGACAAGAACTACAATTTAGTGCAGACTCTCCAAAACTTCATAAAACCAAAAAACAGTTTAAGACTACATAATATTTACAACTTAGGCAGTAAGCAGTAACAAAAAATTATGCAGCTCTTTCTGTTGTTTACAAAGGAGTCACATTCTATCACTAGTAGGGCTGATAAAATAGTGCTGAGGTAATATTTCAAGATCATAATTCAAGAAATGGACAGAAAAACCTAAGGCATGATCTGCAATGCAGCTGCATGCTGAAGTTCAAATAAAAGAGTAAAGTAGTTAGGGCATGGCTAACTTGGTTAAAAAATGTAAAGATGCAGCACAAATCTAGTGGAAAGCTCTGTAAGTTACAGGCAAATCTGAGAAGTTCCTTTGAAGCATTATTAATAAACTGAGATTTTAATTAAGAAGGCAATTTCTTACCAAGTTTTTACTGAAAGTTTCTAATGGCAAAAGAGAAGAACAAAAGGCACGTTATCGTGTAGTTAAAGATCACATTAGATGGCATACTGAGGAAAGGTTCAAATAACATGCAGTTTTGTTTTGGAGCTTCCTAACTAAGCACCATGAGTTGACCTGCAACTTTAAAATCATTATTTTGACTTGTCTGAACACTACTTGACAAGAGGCTATACAACTTGTTAAAATATTCACTAATTGATTCGTTATTCTTTCTTTTAAAATATTCTTTATGGTATGTTTTAGTTACTAACAGGGAAGACACCAAAAATAAAACAGACAAATGATGTTTCCAGCAGTAATCACATGAAAACATTATTAAAGCTCAAAATCAGACAAAGATGTTCAGCAGCAGTTGCCTGTGCACCCTGAATATTTAATCCCTTGGATATACACTGTAGTCTTGACTTAGATTAACTGATGCTTCCCCCTCTCCCAGAGGGAGTACTCCTTCTGCCAGTATGCAGAACAGTGGTTCTCATATGCACACTTATCCACAAGTGTTTTGTCTTCACTTCTGTCACAAGATCTCATTTTTCATGGGCTTTTCAAATACTTGTGTGGAAGAAGGATTATGCATTTCTTCTTTGGCTTTTGTTACCACAACAGCGACGTACTTTACCTGCAATAATGTATTTATCTCCACAGCTAGATGTGAGGAAGAAGTTCTTTACTGTGGTGAGGCACTGGAACAAGTTGCTCAAAGAAGTGGTAAATGCTCCATCCCTGGCAGTGTTCAAGGCCAGGCTGGACAGAGCTTAAGCTGCAAAAACTAATCTGCTGGGAATAAAACTATTGAAGTTTATCTATCTATAGTTTATCACTATATAAGTGATTTTGATCTAAAATCACTTCTGAGCAACTCCATAGTATGTTTATTTACAACTACACCTGGCTATCCTACAATCCTAAAGATGACACCAAATTATACAGTGGATACATTTATCAGGTTTTAATGAAGAGAATTCCCTCAAAATGATTCATAATCATTAAAGTGCAAATGCAGCTCAGTTGTGTCATCATGTAGAGAAGACATTCAATCGACTTAAAGACAGACACTTGCAGTCCTAAATCACTAATCACTTGTTGCCTTTGAAAATGGTGCCTTAGTTATGTCTTTCATTTTGAAGTAGAAGCTGTTCAAGTTAGGAACCACATGTTCCTCCTGGTCTGTACAGTGTGCGCTTATTGCAATGCAACAACAAACTAACAGAAACTGTTTGTCACTTCTTTGCTGTGTTAATCTACACAAATACTGTATTTTGCCCGAAATTACATAAATGCTGAACTTTTAGGGGAAAAAGAAAAATCACATTAAAATAGCTTTTTACAACACAGATACTAAAATTCTTAGCTTTGTTAAGCTGTAGTATGTTTGCTAATTGTTAGTAATCCAAATTCCCTTCCTCTGTTTTCCAGCTCAAACTGAAAACAATACCTTATTTAAATTATGTTAAAAATAATAAACCCCAAAGATTCATCAAGTGAAATCCTCTAACAGTGGCCAGAGGCAGTTATCTAGGGTGAATATAGGAATAGACTATGCATATGGCAATAGTGTGTTCTTGTTACTTTCCCAGGTACCAGCGACTTCTTGTTCCTGAACTTCAATGCATTTCTGTATTAAACCTTTTGTATTTAACATGATGTTCTTCAGTTACCCATCCACACAATCAGTTTTACAGATACTTTCCTATCATGTAAAGACACTGTTCATTGGTGCTTGGCAGCTGGATGAAAGGATATATTTAACTACCCGATGAAAGAGTATAGGATCTATGAAACAAAGTTACTCAACTTTTGTAAAGAGAAG